CTTTAAAAAATATTTAGCTAGCTTTTCTTAAAGTCAGACATTTCAGAAACAAAAAGAAAGAATTCAAGGAATTTAATACTTTAGAAATTATTTTTCCAGCTTTTTTAAAGTTATATTTTCTTAACTAAAAAGTTAAGACGTATACTGAATTATAGAACTGTGAAACAAGTTCAATGATAATTTCCTGAAATAACAAACGACAATTTTAATAACTTATATTTAATTACAGATTTTATCATGACAGAGAAAATATATAGAACATTTATCTAGGCATGACTAAAGTTAGCTTTGAGTAAATAAATCAATTAATATATTAAAGTTAACAGTTTTTATGCAGAAAGTTTTTTCCTCTTACAAACGTTCCTTTTTTTAAAACTTTAATCTTCAAGTCAAAGTTTGAATAAGACTCCTTTGGTTGTAGTTTTTAGCCAACCATATTGACTTTATCACAACGTGGCCACCGTCGTTTCCAACGAAATTAAATTTAATACCTTTTTTAAATAAAATTCAAACAATTTATGGAACGCCAACAGAAGGTTTTACAGCAGCTTCCCAAAATCTTGAGCAAAATGAAAAAAGGCCAGGTAATTGCACTTTTGGCAATACTGATTTCGCACACTTCAACCCTGTTAAAGTTATTTAATATTTTTCGCATGTGGCGGGCATAAAGTTTTACAAGTTTAATTATGCCGACAGCAGCTCAATGCAGACAATGAAGTCCACGCCTGGCTCACACATGGATAGCCAATTAAAAATGTTAAGTTTTTCCCATATACATATCAAGGACGGGCCCACAAAAAGTCGCAATCCTTGGCGAGACTCAAAATAAATTTTGTAATATATAAAAGCGTTAATTGCAAGGGGCCGCGACAAAAGAAGAGGGCTTCTCATTAACTGCACAAACGGGGGAAAATTAAAGCCCTCCCATCCCATTGTGCCCGCCGCTCTCTTCTTTTTTCCCCCATCCTCTCACCCTCACCTCACATACAATTAAAAAGTCAACACCTTGAATTGAACTCACACATTTAATGGCTTGGGGCCACGGGACGGGATGTCCCCACCTTTGAAGAAACAAAAAAGTCGCACGCTGCGAAAATTTTCACAGTAATTAGCAAAGTTTTGCGCCTAAAAACAAAAGGGCATCCGGCTTTTTTGTAGGCGCCTGTCAGGCGGGCGGATCTAATGAAAAGCCCTCTCGACCCCAAGTACGAGTAAATGATAGCCCGAATATAGTTGGATCCGACCAAACCAAACCGAACAACCAACAGCAGGGCTTAATCCAATTTATTTCAAAGAACTTTGAGGACTAGATGAGGGGAGAATTTGCATAACTTTGATATGAGCAGCCATGTGTTTTCGGTCTGCGATAATCACATCCACTCCAGACTTCAACCATATTTTCAAGAGCCACTCAGTCAAACTGATTGCCGTTGAGAATGAATTAATTTATTGCATGCACAAAAAAAAAAAATTCCATTGGCTATCTAAGTAAAAATAAAATTGTGTTGTTTTTAATGTGAATTGGGAACCTCGATTTTCTATTTTCTATAAACAACTGTTTTTGGTATAAAAAAATGATTCAATTTCTTGAGCTATATTTTTAATGAAAAAGCTTGGCCCACGAACCTTAGGATAAAAGCTTATTTTTGATTTCCTTTTTAAAAATAAAATCTTTTAAGCTAATTTATTCTCTTAGTGCTCGCATGAAAAGTATTATTCATTCAGTGAGGCGACACCTCTAGCCATATTTCAATTGTATAAGGCCGAGTCATTTCCACCGTTTCGCTTCAGAACGCCAACTTTCGAAATGAATAAATTGCGTAGAAAAAATGGCTAGCTTTTCCCCCCAAATGTATGCAATGAAATTCATTTATTTACGCCTACGAAGCAATAAAAAATTCCACAATATAACAAATTAGCATTGAAATGGATACGAATTTTTCATACAATTGGCAGGTTTTTATCGCTTAAGCTCAAGCCATGGGTGACGCATCAGGGAGCAGGATCTGAAGCTGGACCGCCGTGGGTAAACATCACAAGTCAGAGGGAATGTTTATGCATGAAGCCAAAAGGAGAGAATTTCATAAAAATTAAATTGTGCATTCGTGCAGATTTGTACGCTGGAATTATGACACAATGTGCGACAGTAATAAATGTTGGGGCAGACAAAGGGCAGTCGAGGGGTTAGCGGATGGTATAGGGTTTTTGTTGGAGGGACCCTCTCCCCTGCCCGTCCCCCCTGCGTTACCATGGCAAGCCAAAAACCAACTCGGGCAAAACAATTTTCACACGTGCAAGTTGCAAGAGGTGCATGCAAGCTCATAAATTGCCACCGCCATGCTGATGGTGATGATGATGACGAGGCGATGGCAGTTGGACTGGGTGGGGTCACAGTTAAATCCTTAAAGGGTCCGGGTCTCCCTTTCAATGTCTATTCTGCGGTTCTCTCTGCTCAAATGCAAATGCAAATGATCAAAATAATTACATGTAGCTCACTTTTTTACCACTCCACGCGCACAAAAGACAAGCGTAGTTGCAACTCCAGAATGATGAAAATGAGTTTTCTTTACAAACAAAATTAAAAGTAAAAGGAAGAAGGAATAGGGACGAGGAAGTGGATAGAGATGGAGTTGGTGGGAAAATTGCACACCAAATTCAACGATGTGCAAAGTTATTTTTCACAAGTGCTTTGCAGCCCGCCCATGTCGCCTGCATGTGGATGTGGCCATGTGGTTCTGTGGATTTCCGTTAACTTATGGTTAGCAGTCTCTATGTGTGCATCCTGCCCTCGTCCTTCTGTCCTCATTCTCTCTCCAGAATTTTCCTATTTTTATGCTGTGCAAATGACAGCAATTTTTCATAGGGCAAAGCGCTTGCAAAACTCCCCCTAGATCTCGTTTGCCATCGTTACCCGCTCCCCGTTGTTTCCGTTGTTGTCTTTTGCGAGGTGCCAAGTGACAATAATTTTGTCTTTCCCTGCCAGCCGAAGAGACAAGCCAGACCCACACGCTAACCCTCGGTCGGGCTTTTGTTTCGCTGTCACTGCCTAATTGCCAAGATTTTCTGCTGCTTGGTAGACCGAAAGAAGAACCCTGGTTCAGGCCAACGGCCCCAACTCCAATCCCCCTGAAAAACCTTAAATTCTGAATTTCAAAAACCCCAAAGCGCAGCTTCCCCAGTTTATTACACACACGCCCTGTGGTACAGCGAAAAAGTATTTAAATGTAGTGCAGCGCCATCACTTTACTTGTAATCGTAAATTACTGTCATTTGTAAAATTGTTGCTGCATTTAAAAGTTTAGTAAGATGCTTGGTTAGAAATTACAAAAAAAAAAAAAAACAGTGATCAGGTTTTAACTATATTTCACTAACTACTAAATATTTTTTTTAACTCCCAAGCCCGGTTGCCCTCTGCTCATTACCCATAAGCATATAAGGAGATCCCTGCAGTTAAGAACCGAATGCAGTTATCATAAATTGGTATCATTAGCATAGGATAGGAATGGGTTAGCTCCCAAACTTTTTGCACATTTAAGCCATCCCCAACCATTGAAAACTATCATTAAGCCACTTTTGTTTATGATCCCCTATTAATTCCTAAAAATCCCATGCATCGTTGAGTCCGTAGATATAAAATTAAAGCAACAACTTGTGCGTTATTTTTATTGAATCATCAAAATCAGGCGCTGAACAAGTCGAACGCTTAAATCGCTGGCTCGCAACTACTCATAACTGTTTGGCTTGCTGTGAAAATATCAATAAAGAAAACTAATGAAGTGCGCGCTGCCTTAAGTGGCTTATTGTCACTTTGACACCCACACATGCAGCGAGTCCTTGCGCTCACATGTGAGTGTGTGTGTGTAATGTCAAAGGGCAGACGCATGACGAGGACTCAAGGGGAAGGCAATCGAGTCACACTGTGCCTGTAAGTGTGTGTCTGTGTCGCGTCGCATCATAAAATCCGCACTTATTACTCCTTTTATGCAACTAAATATGTACACCCAAGTAAATAGCCAAGGGGTGTGGGTGTGTGTGGTTGTTCGCCTGTGTGTGTTTACTTACTTTCGGTTAAGTGGACACTGTCACTGGATTTCTTCCTGCGAGTTGGAAGTACTGGAAAAAAAATGTATCACCCTCAATATGACATTATATAAATAATATGATTTTAAAGCATTTTATATGTTATTTAAGACATTTTAATCTGACTTTTATTGGTTTTCCAGTTTAAGACCCGATTTAAGATCAATATTGAATTTTTGATTGATCTATTTATTATATCTTATATTATATTCGGCTTAGTCTAAAATTCTTTAAAAATCATAATTTAATACAAGAAACCTGAAAACAAAATAATCTTCGCTAAAGAGCTAATATTTATAATCAAATATTTTTTTCAGTGTGACTGCCCTTCTGCTCTTAAGTTTTGGGGCTATTAGCAGCCAGCCAACATCCTTCGGGGTCAAGAGACCGCCATCCTGTGGCTCTTGTCTCCGTCTTTCCACACAAGGACTCATATATTGCCCGGCCAAGTGCTGGAAAAATATTTGCACTACGTCATTGACTGAGTAAATGCAATTCATTGGACTCATAAATTGCAAATCGTGGCGGACAAAATGAAAAAAGCAAATAATAATAATAATTAAGCAAGGCGTTGGATTTAAAGAAAACTGCTTTCAGTAAGAGAAAAGCTTGCCAGAGAAAAGCTGCAGAAAATTCTTATCTAGCTTTTCCGAGCAGCTAAGTTCCATTAAAAAGGTCGTTGTCTAAGAAATCTTAACTTTTCTGGCAAAAGCCAAATGTAGATGGCGCTCGACCATAAAGACATGAAATTGGGCTGATCTCTTCAAGAGATTATTACCTGGATTATGGGCCAAATTACTTCCTCGCTTACCATCATTACATTTTCCGCTTCGCATTTATATTTCCTGCTTCAGCCCCCAACAAAAACCTCTTCAGCAGTTATTACGCTTAATTTGAAAACATTTAATTACCATTAATTATATTTTTGTATAATTACATTTTCTGTTTTATTGTTACATTTATATGCTCATAGTGCATCATATATTATGCTTAGTAAAATCACGCAAATGTTTCATTAAAAATTGATGCCTTCATTTTTGTAACGTTGTAAAGAGAACAACGTGATGTCTGGGGAAGTCGTTATTGCTTTTGCTGTTTCCATGGCTATTGTTGCAATTATAGTCGGGCAGTTGATGATTTTGGTTAACCTTTTTTTGTTTGCTTCCCCATTGCGATTTAATTAAAATTATGAACTCGCTTAGTTGGCATTAAATAACAAATAAAATAAGTTTTACATGCGATTTATGTAAAAAAGTTAATTATTTTGTTTTTCGTTTTTTTTCCTCTCTTTTGTTTTTCTTCCTCCTGGTGTATACACTTAGCAAAAATACGCATTACAAACTATTAGCAGTGTTGCCCTCGAGCGGGCGGGGGGGCGGTAGGTGGAGAAGGACGAGGCGTGGTGTACACATTTAAAACCTAGAATATCATTCGCACTCGATTTGAGAGAGGCGGAGCATTAGTGATCCATGCAAAGAATAAATTATCCATTGTTCTCTGAATTTCCCACTGCATCTTAGTATCTAAACTGTCCCTTCTTCCCCCTCTCGTTGTGGTAGACCCTCAGTGGTGAGTAGCTGCCATTTCCGTTGCCGTTTAGTGACGCACCGGCACCGTTTCCGTTTCCGGCTCCATTGCCATTTCCAGCCCCGTTTCCGGTTCCGGTTCCCGTATTGCCAAAGTTCTGGGATGCAGATCCGGAGATCAACTCCTCGGAGTGTTGTGGCTTGGCGGTGCAGCGTGGGGCGAGGACCAGGTTGTAGATCCCGAAGTAAACCAGAGCCACGACGCAGGCCACAATGGCCAGCCATTGGTAGGTGCAGGACCAGTACTTCAACTCAGGCTGCTCCTGTGCCAATCCAATCAAAGCTCCAAAGCCTTTGCCTAAAAAGAATAATTAACGTCAGAACTAAGTATCTTATATATATAAAAATTTTAAATATCTTAATAAGAAATTCTAAATAAGGAAAACTTTTAACCTTTTTTTAATTGGAAAACCTATTTCTTTTCCAATTAAAAAAACTTAAACATCTTATCTTAATACTTAGATATTTTAATGCAAATGAAAAAAAATGTAAATGCTAAAATTAATTTCTTTCGAATATTTTTAGAACATTCAAACTCAAAACATTTGTCTGTTTCAGTCATTTTTTCTATTATATAAGCCCCATAACACAATTTAATACTTTTTAAAATCTGGCGATTAAATAAAAACTTTTTTTTGGAACACTTACCCAATCCGAAGAAGGCCAAAACGGCGATGGCCTGTCCAGTGGCAGTCAATTTCCTCGGCATGGCATGACGCATATACAAAATAATCGTGATCCAAATCAGACCAATTACAGCCGGCTCGATAGCCTCCATGACGACGGTCAACCATTTGGTTCCCTCATCACTCAACGCCGCGAACCTAATGACATAGATAGCCAAGCCGCCGATGAAGATATTCGAGTGGCCGCAGTACTCGATGAACTTGTCCACGTTGAAGAACAGGACTAGAATGAGGATCAAGCCCGAATAGCACACAGCATACTGATCGACGAATGTCCAGTGCAGGTAGCTGTGAATGCTGCTCCAGAAGGTGCCAAACAGAATGGACACCAGTGTGAGCACGAAGATCTCGGGACTGTAGCGACGGATGGCGGACATGGGCACCACCAACATTCCGGTCTTCGTGTGCCACCACCACTCCGGCGGACTCAGTGGCATCTGCGAGGCACAGAGCAGCACAACGGCGCCCAGAACAAAGCATACAATAAATATTATAAGCGCAGCAAGAGCAGCAGAAGCAGCAAAGTCGGCGTCCTTATTGATATCGTCACCGATAAAGAGCAGGTCCAGCGGCGAGAAGAGCACCACATAGCCAATGGCACCCCACACATACTGCCGGCACACCTCGCCCCTCCCCTCGGAGGTCTCACGCACCGCGATCACGATGGCCGTGTTCAGAAGGGTCAGAGCGGCCATGGGGAAGATGTCTCCAATCAGGCGGATGGTCCTATAAGCCCCCAAGACTTCCTCCACATTGGCAGTGCCCTAAAGGGTTTCTTGAAACATTAGTATATATTTCAGGACATTTCAAAAACTACTCACATTCGTACATTCACTCTCCGCAAGCACGCTCTGTTTATGGTAAGGATTCACCACTTGGCACTCGATCATCGGTTTGCAGTTGCTGTCGTTCAGCTTATACTCCTTGAATTCCTTCATGTAAGTCACCTGTGCTGGGGGAATGTGGCACTGGAAACCCTCTGAAAATGTCAGGATAAAGTTTAAATTATTAAAACTATATTTACGAATTACAAAATAAATTAGAAATAAGAATGATATATAACATATATTTTTTTTGCAACATAAATAGTTTATACAATGAAAAATAAATGTTTTTGGTTTGATATAATTACAAATGCAAAATTGTAAAGATTATGAAACACAAAATATACATTTTTTGTTAAGGGGGATTAAGGTATTATCTGTGCAAAATAAAAAACTTTTTTTTTTTTAAATTGTATTTGTTTTTCTTAAACGAAAAATAAATATACTTGTAAACTTCGCGTCTCAAAACTAGACTACACTATGGACTATAAACTCACCCAGAGGATACTGGCACCATCCCTCGGAGTCCTCGAAGTGCTCCTCCTGACTGATCGCCGAGCCTATGACAGTATTCATCTCCACGCTGGTGGTGTCCTCGGTGTAGGCGTGGCAGTGCTTCACCACATTCTTGCCTTCCTGGTTGCGCTCGGTGAGACAGACGTGCGGGGGCTGGACGTAGACCTTGCGGGGGGGCGTCTTGACCTCTCTGACGGACCGGTGACCTTGCCGCTCTCCACTGATCGCCTCCTCCACACCAGCACTGCTGGCGGGATCTGAGCCCTCCAAGTCCCTCCTCACGCGCAAACTCTCTGTGACCGCAGTGCTGCCCTCGTCCTCGTAATCGAATTCCGAGCTCTGCTCCGTGGAAGGGGCCGCCGTGGGAACTTGCTCCAACCAGGCCACGTACAGTGGCTCGTAAAGGTTGGGGTTCTGGCAACTGTAGGTGCAACCGGACAGGTTGAGGCTACCCTCCATCTGCTCCCATTTGCTGCAACTGGAACCGCAACGCTCCTGGAACAGAAATCCTCCAGTTTCGTCACAGCCAAAGCTGACCTGTGGCCCTTGGACATCTCCCCGCAAACTGATCTTCGGCACAGCAAACAGGAAAGCATAGATTAAGGCCGAGATCAGCAAACAAACGGCAGTCAACACTCGCAGAGTGCGACCAAACGTATTCGGGTTTCTGGCTGCCAGGCGATCCGCCCAAGGACCTGCGAGCAAAGGACCCAAAATGGAAACAAATGGCGCCACGATTGTGATCGTGCGGAATTCCGAAAAGTTCAGACCCAACAACAGGGGCTTTGTGGCATGCAAAATATGCAAAGCTGCTAGGCCTGCAAAGTAAGAAAGATTTTCGTAAATTATTTGGCTTAATAACAAATTAATGTAATTTTTTATTTTCATTAGCATTGAACACAAATTCTTTGAAAAACAGAAGATTAGAATTGTTTCAATTACATTTTTTTTGTGTATAATATTATTTTTTTATTAAAGCTTTAATCAAAGATAATTTTGTTTAATTGTTAGCTCAAAGCTATATAAAAGTACTCACCGGTAAGGACAAAGAATACCACAAATTTGAGCGATATCAACGTTCTGTTGACACGCGGCTTGTGCTGCGCATTGAAACCCATTTCGTCGATTTGGGTGACTACAAACTATATAAAGATAATCTCAGTAATTAGGCCACCTTTCGGGGGTTTCGTTATTTCTCGTTGATTTCCTCTTCGTTTCGTTGGGACTCAGTTGATCATGTTAGACTTGATGTGTTCTGTAAAATGGAGAGAAAGAAACCAAGTTAGTAACGAAGTAAGAAAGATGTAATTTCAAAAAATTTCTGAGATGTAAACAGAACAACATATAAAGACATTGAAATACTAGTGTCTCACGCAACCACAAAAGTAAATAACACCAACTTGCTGGCTACCAACTGAAACCGCATAAACAATAAGATATCAGAGGCTGTAAAAACTATTTATTCACCCTGTAGTAAGTTTCACATGAAGCTACTCTGCCCAATTTGTGGGCATATCAAAAAGCAATCAAGCCATTTCATGCCACCCATCATCGATGATAATCGGCGGGCAAACACAACATGCTGAAAATCATTTGAGAGCTCGTTTAGGGACCCCCTGCTACAAATGTAATATAAATATATACGTGTCACAATGGGGTGTCAAAAATAAACAAGTGTCAATAGGCAATAGGCCACAGTCGACATTCATAGCACACATACGCACCATTGCACAGCGGCAGACGGGGCAACAACATAACTAAAATAACAGAGTAATTGAACGGAATGACAACAGCAAAACAGTAATGAAATATATATTGTGTCTGCCCTAGACATAAATTTAAATTAACTGTCAACGAAATTGTCAATGGCATGTAGCTTTAATCATCAGCAAACTATTTGCTGGAGATTATGACAAAAGGAAAGGCTTCAGGGGTAATTGTGATATATACAGCTGCAGTCAATTTTATAGCATTCGAGCATATATTCATACTGGCATATCTAAATGCATTTATCTTGCAAAATTTTATTGCAAATTTGTAAACATGAGTTATTATCAAGGTAAAAAAACAAGTTTCCGATTTTAGTACACTAAAAACTGAGAAAAAAGTTCTAAGAATTAACTTCTTTACTATAATATAGAACACACTTGTTATTTCGTCTGCTATTTATGTGACCCCTCCTGTAGGCTTAATGCATCCACTAGACAGTGCATTAAACCCTCTCGACAAGTAAATTGCTTGATAATACCTAAAACGCATGTGTCGAGCAAGAAGCCCACTCTTTCGCCGTCTGAATTGCAATTTGCAAGATGATACTTAAAGTGAGCTCTGTTCCTCAACATTGACAATGGGACTCGGAAAGGAAAGGAAAAGGAAAGTGCCAGACGGCTATCATATTTTCCAACTGCGCAGCCCCTCGAGAGAACTCAGATGGCAAGAAACGAGATTTAAGTAGTTTGTGGCAAAACCGGTTGTCTGGCTTGTCGGCTAAGCAAATTACATCACCCCGAGCAAAAAGCGAAACATTTGACTGACTCTGCGTGTGATCTACGCCCCCAAAAAGAAACGTACCCAACCCAAACGGAGGAAGGCCAGGCAGATGGGCATCCATCTGCCATCTGCAAAATATTACAGCGACCACCAGCTAATTGAACAACTCAAACACACACCAAGGTCTTATTTACACACAATTTATAAAGTGCTAAGCTCCTAATGCTACACTGCCGCTAGGGCCAATCAATAATGTAAAATACGCCGGCCTTGCCAAAGGTCAAGCTAAACACAAGCCAATCGATAAGTAAACATAATATTTGGACTGCCCAATGAATCATCTAGAAATGCCCTGTAATCTTTTAAATAGATGAACACAAATCTGGGTTATCAGTTGATGGCTGCAACAAATTTCTTTAATAACAAATAAAATACAAAATATTGCCGGCTTATCGGAGCGTCAGTATTGAATTTAGCTGGAGCTTATCTAGGCATCAGTTTTGAATTTAGCTGGAGGTAGTAAAAAAGGTCAAACTGCCAAACAAAAGCCAACAAACTAGCAAAGCATGACGTAATCCAAATAATAACGAAAACAATACGAGAGCAGCTATAAAAAATGTCGCTGGGTTTGAGACCGAAATTCAAATTAGTAACCAGCCAACGACCAGCAGCAAAAAACCAAAAACAAAAAAGAAGCTTCAGTTTCAACTTAATGACAAAACGCCCAGCACGCACACACCCAAAAAATAGAGAGAAGAAAAAACTAAAAACCCCAAACAAAACCATCCAAATCCGAGCCCCACACACCCCGCACAACCTGGACTGCCAGTGATTGCCCCACATGGGCACTACGTATGACACAGTGCGCTTATTTATGACCTAAGGTAAACTTTGGCCGGCGCTAGCCCCAGAAAAGCCGGAAAATGGGAAAACAAAATGGCTGGCATTTCCCCATTGCGTGTTCGGGTGGTTCGAGATCGGAGGAAGAGGTGCCATCGGATGCCCTCAGTCCAAGGAACATGCCCACGGGCTTTTGACAATTAACCATACTGTTTATAGTACACCATATATATCTGTGCAGGCGACAAACATCTGGAAAGTATCCACAAAACTTAGATTTTCCATTTTCAAAATAAATCATTTTTGAGCTTTATAAATCCATTTCGTTATCTTTGGGATTCTGCTGCCCTTGACGCCCACGCGGCTTTCAAGAAATTCCGTGGTCTCTTTTAAACAAATTTCAGGGGATTTACCAATCCTCTTATCGAAATAAAAACTTGTTTTGTATTTTGGATTTGTGTAATTTGGTAGTTCCTATACTAAAAATGATTTAAATTAATATTATTGAATTTAGAGACAAGTATTTGTTACACATAATTTATTTGCTGTCGAACCATTAAAATCAAATTTTAAAGCTTTTATCTTTACTTCGCGATATTAAAAGCAAAATAAACCGAATTTATAAATACAAAAATAAAAACGATTGTTATTCGTAATATGTTTTTAGATTATTTATTATATTCATATGTTATAGTTTCAAGTAAAAATGGATTAAAGATTTTACAATTGTAAAATAAAAGAAAAAGTTCAAAGTCAATGCTAATCATGATCAAAACCATAATATTACCGATGCGTTTTTGTACGTTTTAACTAGGGTATTTCCCTATCTGGTTTCCCAATCGACGGCTTTGCCGCCTGAGCAAATTATCCGAGTTTTCTTTTCGGTTTTTCGCCACACGCCCGCTTGCAACTTTTCCGCTTGGGTGGCGGCAATGCCTCTGCCTTTTGTGTGTACTGCCAAATAACAACCAACTGTGAGAACTCTGCGTGCATGTTGAATTTGTTTTGGTGGGGGATCTTGATGGCGTCGCCACCGGTTCGTTAATTATGTACGATTGTGCCACTCTGTAGCTACCCGAAAATAGAAATTTAATTGCAACCAACGGCAATCAGCATGACCCTCTATTAATGTCGTTGCTGTTTATCAGTTGTCTAGTAAATCACTTTGTAAATGTCAATTAGTGATAAGGCCAAAGCCAAAGACCAAAAATCAAAAGAAAATGAGGTAATATATTTGCCCAAGCCTTATGCAAATCGTATTTGTTAGCATCGAATTGGCTGGGTTTGCAGTTGTTTGTTTACTCGCATTGTTTGCCAAGCGATTTTTAACACCTTTACTGGCAGCTGGAACTTGATGTCTTGCCACTGCCTAATATTTTTTCTTGAGTGCAATGCTTAGCCACAAAGTCGCGCCTTTCATATACATCTCACTAGCCATTGTGGGTCAATTGGTTTTTATTTAGATTTTGTCTTTTTTTGGGGCTTGTGTTCAGACAGCGCGCCGCCCGCTTAATTATGCGTAACACGACTGCAGCAAAATAGAAAAGCCTCAACAAAGGCCGCTTGCATTTAGTAGAATTTATGAATGAGTGCGGTGGCCTGGGCACACTGTGACGGCTTTAATTAACATTTAAAATGCATAAATTGAGCGACCGTTCGAACTGTGTCAGCAATTTGGCTCCCAACATGGGCGGCGAGAGCTTACGTGGGCCGAATGCCACGACAAGTGCAGCGTCATTGAAGGTCTAGACTCTGGACTCTCGAAAAGGTTCAATGAAAGTGAGTAAAAATGTATTGGGAAAATGTGTTTAGTTTTCCCCTGGACTTCTGCCAGATTTTTCGGCCAGTCAATGCACTATTAATGTCTTGAATCGCCTGTAAACGCAACATTAACATTTCTCCTCATTTTCATTTCGGCTTCGCTCGAGCGTACAAAGCGTTAATTTCAATTGCAAACCGAATGGTATATTTGCACACTTTCTGGCACTTGCCTTTTGACATTTAGCCAGCATAAATTTCCCAATACGCAAATCAGTTTCGCTAGCTTAGCTTGGCGACTAACACATGTTTATAGGTTTACTTCACTTTTTTGTTTCGTTTGAAGACAAATTCAATTGTATCGTTAGATTGAACGCTTAATTGGGGCTCTCCGTGTGTTTACATTGTGGTCACGTAGCGAGGTTCTGGTTTATTTTCAGTATTACTATTGCATTGGAACGACCCACACTCATAGACCCACTCACTCGAAAATCTATAGTTGAATGAACGAATAAAGTACCGCACCGTTAATCAATTGGGTAAGTTATAGAGTGACTTATTGATGAATGCGTCGGGTAGTTTTAAGGTGAGGCAACATCGCACGCCTTCGGGACAAACCTTGGCGATATTTTTTAAGGCCCATTTCCGTTAGGGCTCTGTTAATGATATTGTGCAATAATTCATTGTTTTCGTGTGAGGTCTTGTCGAATGCGAGATTTGCATTGGCATTGCCAGTCCCCTGTGCATAATGGAAATGCCATAAAGACATTTTCCTGACTCACTATCGTGTGTTGACAACTTGTCTGGAATGCTGCCAGCTCAGATGGGCCTTAACTTTTACACGGGACTACAAAAATTAGTGTACATTTAAAAAAAAAAAATAGTAAAATATAGTAAAGCTATAAAAATGAAATTTTAAGACCAGTAAATTATTAGAAGTAACTAACTTTAACCGAAAACCCTTCGAGTTTCCAATTTCTATATACAGACAAAATACAATTTTCAAGCGCTAAATTCTGAATTTGAATTTTTATTTCGTAATGTTTTTGATTGAAGTGGAAAGTTTGAAGTTATTTCATATATACACGTATCTAAGTGTACGTTTTTACTGAGTAAACTGATTTCATTAAAATTATTTCAATTTAATACAAATTATAATCTTCTGGT